GGGGGGGGTTGTAATACCGACGCTCTTCCCCTGATATGTACTTGATGGGCGGGAGCAAACAACTCAATCTGTGCGCCCCGAGGCCTGCTGGGGGAGACATCAACCTCTCGGCATAGCACAGCCGCCGGGCCCGGCCCGTTGGAGCGTCGTAGCTCCTCGAGCGAAGCGGGAGCAGGTGGGAGGGGAGGTGGGGGAGCAGCAGAAGCACCGAGCCCCGTGACGGCTTTGCCGCGCCGCGCGCCGCTCCAACCTCAATCCCATCATGTCCCCGGACCTGCAACAAGCGCGGCGCCAGAGGAGACGACAATGCGGCGCCGCGGCGGCGATCACGAGCGACTCCGCGGGGAGCGACAACACCGCGAGCGGCAGGCGCTTGGAGGCGGTGGAGGCGGGGAGGACACGACGGCGGGAGGGGCTTGGAGGTGGAGAGCACAAGACGACGGGGACGGGGAGAACACGACGGTGGGGAGGACACGACGGCGGGGAGGTCACGACGGCGGGGAGGACACGACGGGACGGCGGGGAGGACACGACGGGGGTGAAGACACGACGGCGGGAAGGGTTCGGAGGCGGAGAGGTCACGACGGTAGGGAGGACACGTCGGCGGGGGGAGATGATTACCCCGCGCGGGAGATCGACAAACACCACCGTGAGGAGGGGGCTCGAGCCTGGCGGCGCGGCGCAGCGTCGCGCGCCAAGCTGATCGGGGGCTGAGCGGAGGCTGAGCGGGGGGTTGAGGGGCTGAGCGGGGGCTGAGCACTGCCACTAATCAGAGCGATAGCGCCGCCCGCCGCCCCCGCCGCATCCACATCCGCCCCGCGGCTCACTGGAGTGTTTGCATCCGGCCGGCCGCGGCCACACGGCGCCCCGCACCGCCCCGCCCCGCCCCGCCCCGCCTCGCACCGACCCGCCGCACCGCAACGCCCCACCAGATGAGGAGCAAGTTGGCCCTGCGGCGGCGCGATCGGTTTCCCCAACTCGCATCAGTCAAAGCACATCCTGCCTCGACGCTCCGGCAATAACCACCGAGCCGAGTTGAGCCGAGCCGAGACGAGCCGGGTCGGGCCGAGCCGAGCGTTACGCACAAGTGCAGTGACGACGCTCCCCCCGGCATGCAAGTACTTATCCGGAAGGAATCCCGTAATGAGGAAGCAGCCTTTGGCCGTTCATTCTCCGTCGCTCCCCTCTTCTTCAGCCTCCTCCACCTCCCGGCGGGGGAAGGAGGACGACTCTTCTCCCTCGACAACGAGAGGCGCGCCGCCGCCGCTCCTCCGGTCTCCTCGACTTAACTTAAAAGTGATCTGAACTATATAAACGCCGTGGGAGGTGCCAGTCGCTGTCGCTCAGGCCCTTCCGCCCGCGCGAGCGCCTTTCGGTCTAATCCCATTTTTGGTAAGCTAGTCAACGCCAGGGTGCCTGCAGCTGCCCCCCTGGCCAGATAGCTGTCCACGGTCTCCCTGGCCGCGTCCGGTCGACGCTCGCCCTGGTCAGGAAGGAGGAACGGGAAGCAGGTCGGAAATTCATCGCCCGTCCTGGGCGGCTTAGTGAGAGTTGTGTCGGCCCGGCGGGGCGGGGCGGGCAGCAGCAGGGGGGGATTCGATTTGCGTCGGCCTCTCATGCAGAGTGAATAACAACTGTCCTCGAACCGATGGCCAAGGCCGGGAACGGGCCGCCTGGATCCAGGCCGAGGAGCTAGCTGAGCCTTGGGCCTCGGCCTTGGCCATTGGAAAGGGGTTCGAGGTGGTACGAGGAGGCCCTGCACCCCGTGACGAAGGAGGCGCGGGAGACGACTCTCTCTCTCTCTCTCTCTCTCTCTCTCTCTCTCTCTCTCTCTCGATTGCTCGCTCTCGCCCGCTCTCGCTCTCTCTCTCGCTCGCTCTCGCTCGCTCGCTCTCGCCCGTTCTCGCTCTCTCTCTCTCTCTCCTTGCACAGGTGAGCGGGCCAGCGGATGCTGGCGGCGTGAAAACAATCTCGGTCTGGACCGATGTTATCCCACGGCCTTGATGACTCCCGGACACGACGCGATTGGCGAGTAGATTTTGACCTCGTCCCGGCCCTAGGCAGCGCTGCCCGCACTACGCCTCGGTCCGAGGCCGAGGCCCAAGCCCTCGGGCGCGACGGGGTGCGGCGTGGCGGGGCACGCAAGAGACTAATCTCCAACAAGTTATCGTCATGCCGGGGTCGGCCCGGCCAGGGATATTTGAATATTCGCGCCGAGAAGGGATCGTCCAGAAAGCACGCCCGTTTTCTTCAGAGTCCTTTGGCAAAACTGCGAGAGCTCGGCGCCTGCGAGACTCACGGTAGGCCACCCCGCAATGCACACATGCACTGGATGCAAGATGATGCCTACCCATCAGGCGCTATCAGAGCTCGCACGGACTGAAGTTGGTAGTTTCAGTTTCGTTAACGTCGAATGACGGACGTACTTTTCGAATTGATTCCGACCGCGACCTGAACAGTGAGCCCACCCTGAGCCAGCACAAACGCAGTAGGGTAAATTAAATCGGAACCCGTAAGGGAAAACATAACTGCCCGCATCTTGCGTTCAAGATTCGCTTCAAGATGAGAGCAGAAGCATCCGTCCCTGACCCTGAAGCTTTTACTGCTTCCGAAATCAAACACCCGAAAAGCTGAGTTCTTGCACCAAGTACTCACTTGAATCAAGACATAATGTACTTCACAAAATCATGGATCAAGCACAATGTACGTCCAAGAACTCAGTTTTGGAGGTGTGAACACACCTTAGTTATACTTACACGACGAGAAACAACTTCGGATTTTCTGCGTCGTATACAGCATAGCATCGCACACCACCGCTCCATTGTGGTATACAAGGGTACAAGGGTGTTTCACGCGAAAACTGTAGCCGCCGCGTGGGCCATCCGCGCGCGGCGGTAGCGATGTGCCGACGTGCCAAGCATATTTGAGGGCACCTGCCCCGCTCCCCTACGTCTGCACGAGCGTGAGCGCGTGTACGTGTGAGCGTGGGCGAAGCCCGGGGGGAATTAAACCACGGCCCGCGCCACCAAAGAACAACAAAAAAGGTAAAGAATAAACCCCCTGGTCAAACCACCACGCTCCGCCACGCCCGGGCGCCCCCACACTCCTTGGCCGCTGCTGCCCCTATATATCCTCTTGCCGTGCGCCTTATACTCCATTTGTATTTGTTTTTTGTTATTTTGTTTCGTTTCTTTATTTTTGTCTTTTTTTTCGGGACGCTCCGGTATTCAAACGCGTGCGACTCTCTGGGGCTGCGGTCCGACTAGGCGACCGGCCTGGCTCGTCCGGTCACGTATGGGGGGGCTCACTGACGGCGGCCGCGGCGGCGCTCCCAGCAGCGCTCCCAGCGCTTCCACTCGCCCCGACCCGCCCTTTCCACTTCCGGGCAGATTACATGGATCTCCACTATAAAACGGCCACGAGGCCCGAGCTCCCAATTCCTATACCAGCAGTAGTAGCGAAACCGTGACGCCAAAGTCACCGGCGCCGGGAACGGGGGGATTTTATTGTCATTACTTTTTATTTATTTTTGACCCTTTTTTGTTTTGAAAACAAACGGCATGGTAGTGGATATCACAAACGGAAAATTCCACGCCTTTTTTTATTTGCCGTCGAAAGTAGAAATCATATGCATATGTATCCATATAGGGCGCCAGTGGTAGCAGGGATGAAGGGTGGAGGGTGAGGCAGGGAGAAGAGAGGGGGCATTTAAAACGCTTTCAGTCATAATATAGGACAAAACTGTTATTTTTCTAAATAATTGGGGAAGGGGGCAACTTGACTTGACGACCCTGAAGAGGATTAAGACCAAAAAGACTTAATTACCTAGTCTCCTTTCGGGCCGGCGGCGCTGTTCCGCTGGCGGTCCCTGCTCGCCGATGTCACCCCAGCGCCGTGCGGCCCCTCGTCACGGCACACCCGCGGCACCCCCGGCGCGTGGCTGTCGCGGTGGTGTCGTTGTCGTCGTCGCGGTCCTGGGCTGCGCGGCGCCGCCGGCGAGCACGTGACCCCGGCGAGCGATAGCGGGCGCGAGGTAGGGAGGGAGGGCGGGAGACGCACACCGCCGGTAGAGCACACCGGACTGCGGGGCGTGCGGCGCGCGGCCGGAGCGCGCCCCTGTCCCGTCATGTTGCGCCCCGCGCCCCCGGCCGAGCTGCGGCCGCCCGCCGCC